TAATAGACTAGTTATTTTAGTACAAAACATATATATATATATATATATATATATATATAAGCAAATCACAATGACAGTTATTTTCGCAAAAACCATATATATATATATATATTAACTTATATTAACTTACCAGCAAGGAAATAAGTTGTGGAGGAAATCTACCCTCTTCGATAGCTCTGACTAATGTTGATAGCTCCAAAGTATTCAAGTTGTTCCTCGCACCGGGAATTCCCCAGAATACATGCATGAAGTATCGATCCGGCCCAGCAACAGCCTCTAATCCCACAGTTGGGTATGCTTCTTTACCTTTAAACATACCGTGTAGTGATCTAGGACAGTTCCACCATCGCTGATGCATCTTATATAATCAATATACCGATTAAGCGGTGGTGTTAGTCTCAGTTTAAATCAATAGAAATATATTATTGTTAAATAGTAAAGGGTAGCAGTAGCACTTTTAATAAACACACTATATAAAAAGTTTGATAGTGATTAGCTTACACATCGATCGATCCGATCCTCCCTGGCATTCCTCGTCCAGCGTTTATTGCCATATAATATTTGACCTCCTCAGTGGTCGGAAGAGAGCAGTATTCCTGAGTATATATAGCCGACATGACCATACAAAAACGTAGAAAGCAAGCCCGAGCAGTAGCAGCGCTTACAGCAAAAAAATCATCGCATATGTCAAAAGATAAATTGTATACAAGTAAGCGGAACGCCACGGTAATTTTTAAATCCGTTGAGATCCCAAGTAGACCAGTAGCATCACGCTTCTGTACAAAGTAGGGATCGTGATAGATTTGTTTTGTGTGATTACGTTTGCACATTTACATACTATCATAAATTAATTGAAACATACCTGTACCTACGTCGGAAGTTTGTGTCCTGTATTTTTCGTAGATGATCCACGCCTGGATCCCTGAAGTATATTATTTGATATCTCTCGTTAACACTATGCCAATCTCTTTGCTGGTTGCGACTCTTTCCTTTAACTGATACTGTGTGTGATGTAGTCTTTGCACTATTCAGTGCTTGTAGTTCTTCGTCACAATAGCGTTTCTGTACAAAGTTATACATTATTATGGTAAACATAACCTTTCTATGATTATCTGGCATCTTCATAGTTCACGCCCTTTTGCATGAACAATGTAGTTGAATACAAGTAGTTGTTTGCACACATATTTAATATCACAAACACGGTCTTTTATTATATTTCTGGCAGAGATGTAGGAATATCCCAATATGTCATTATGATGTCAAAACAACATCAGGTGGAATTTCGCATCATCACATTCTGGAGTGAGTATACAAAAATAGGTTTAAAGTTTCACCATTCAAACGAGTTTTATTTCAGATTTCATTTCTCTTTTTGAAATTACAAAACTCGCGAAGTGAAGCCTATTTTCTCCACGAGTTTTGGCGAAAATCGGTGAAGATTTCCGTCACCAATTTGCTTCACGAGATTTTCACGAGTTTTACAAAATCAAAAACTCGTGAAAAATTGAATAAATAGTGCGGTGCGGGTCGCCGTCTCTGATCCTTCATCATCTCGAGAAAAAAAATATCAAAGTGCAAATTGGTGAAGAAATTGGTGACCGGTGAGGGCAGTCTAAATACCAAACGAGGGAAGCTATTTACATAAACAATACACTGTTTTTAGAAAAAATATTCATTCGAGCCTGACAAGGATTCAATTTAAAATTGTATACAGTGTGTATCACATTCTACTTAATCTACTCGGTCTTTGCATCCTCTACTACAGGCCATCCTGGCGTCATATGGTGGTCGGCAAATGGAACCAGCATATGTATGGCCTTAGGGAACATCACAGGTACAACTTTCTGATATTCTTTGTAGGTGGGACGGCGTGTTACTGAGCCAGCCTCGGCGGGTTGTGCACCGGTCCAATATACTAAACAGTCGTAGAAGAACCTTACTACCAACCATAAGCCGACCAGTAAAAAGGGTACACTCCAGTGTTCGTTCTGCGGCATCCATGTCTTGTAATCAAGTACCGTTGGGAGGCCCATCAGTGCGAAAGCAAACCAGCAGGACAGTTCCCCAAGGTAGTTGGGGTGGCGTGAGAGAGTCCATAAGCTGTATTTAGGAGTATCGAAAGGTGCATAGCCCAGAACGGCTTGCTTAAGTACCGCTTTCTGCTCAGGCGTGGCAGTTTTTCTTTGTGTGCGACAGTCAGTGAGAAACAATTGCTTCTGTACATCTGCATAGCTCTCAAAGAACCAAGAAATGCACCACCAGGCAACCCCTAATACTTCCAAGAACATTAGCGATTTCGACGTATTTGCCGTGGCTATCAATAGTGGAGACGCAAGTACCACTATATTGGCAAAGCTCTGGCTGAGTGTTTCTTGGAGCATCTTCAGCACCCACCATGACTCTGGGAGCTTTTCATGGTCAACCCATCTCACTCGGGCATACTGATACCGGGATAGATCATTTTTGAATCGGTACGGATAAAACATCACCAGACCACCTGCCAGCATACGACCTCCATGGAATATCATGCACGTGCAGACAAGCAACTTGCGTAACCACCAACCCTGTCCATATATCAAACAGTTCAACCCAAGTACAACCAAGCCTGCGGGCCATCCCAGATCCACGTAGCACATGTGTGAGGTGAGCAGACAGGGAATCTCGACCACGACGGTGAATAGAATCAGTTGGCACAGGGCATTCCACATGAACAGTTCGTGGATAGAGGGGAGTGAGAAAAGCACGCATGAGACCACCACTGCGATGGCCATGTCTATTGCTGTCAGACGCTCACCGGCCTTGCACAGCTTCCAAACCTTATAGGCTAGAGTGTGGTGTACGTTTTCCTTAGTTGTGGAAGACATACTACCGTGATTGTTCTGTTCCGTAGCTACTAATATATTGGTTTAATTTTCAAGACTTTTTTTGGTCCAGTTTACATAAAGGTACAATTTAGAAAGCCATGAAAAACGATATAATATCGTGCAAATACAAAAGTTTTAGTTCGTCCGACTGTTAACTGTGGCTGCAATACTGCAAGTAGAGTGTTTATTTATATATATCTTGAACTATTATTGTGAAGTATCGCTTATGAATAGCTGTATTTTTTTAAAGTCACGGTGACTGTCTTTGGTTCGTATTACTCTAAGTATGCGTTGTCTATTTACTTTCTAGTTTTTTAATATAAAATGACTTGCTATGAGAATGAGGGTATATACATAAATATAAGACGGTATTCGTTCGCAGCTTAAGCAATATCACATGTGATCACATCCAACTTGAAATAAATACAAACAACAAGAGGTTGAACAAGCACAACAAGCTCAGGCCTCAGGGGACCGGGTCTGGGTCTCTCTACTATTTATTAGTCGAGACTAGAGACTGAGAGACTACAACTCTACACTCTACAGGATTATGTGCCTAAGCCACTATGGGGGGATAGCATTTGTTTTTAAAAAACAACAACAATATTTTTATTAATTTAAATACATACTGTGAGTCCAGGTGAGTCTGTGACTACTAAATACTGCATCTACTTCTAAATTTGGCTGTTGCTGGCTCAGAACTGTGAATCTTTAAAAAATTTGGACTATTGAGCAATTTTAAAAGTGCAATATTTATCACTAAAAGCTATAGCTATTAGGTCCCTCAGAACTTGTATTTATTCCAAATAAGCAATAAAGTTAAGCTTTTTATGCCCATTTGAGACCCGGTACATGAATTTAGAAAGGCCCGATAGAAGAAACACGCAGCAGTAGAAGAGGTACGGTTATTTTTAATTCATATAAATACTTGCACTTTTACATTTGAGGCGGGGCCCCCGCCAACAACAACAACAACTACAACAACAAAAAAAATAGAAATCTGGACCGAAACATGGACCAAAATTGAAATTGCCCTTTTTTTAAAACAAACCGTGGAGCGTGCTTTCCCAAAAGAAACAAGGGTAAACCTCTAAACAAGGGTAAATATCTAATTGCATTTAAAAAAAAAGGCTCTACATATACTTTCAAGTTCATTGTTTGTCTTTCACCATTGGCGTTAATGACTAAGGGTGGTTCTTAACGAGAGGTCTCCATTAAAAGTAAATAAAATTAAAGGGTACTTTTGCGACGGTCCTTGGCTCAGTTTTTTTTTTGCCATCACAGCCGTTGGAATTGAAACCGTAAATTTTGAGAATAAAGCCATCCTAGTGGTTGATAAAATCCAATAAAAATTAGTATACCTATGCCGCTCAAAATATACGAGCAATGCTGCGTCTTTCTATTGGTTGCAATATGGTAGAATATTGAGTGTCAAAGCATCGTTGTGTGAGCCGTTTTGACATTTTTACATTTTGTAAACATATTTTTTAGTTTTTGTTTGTTATAGTATACTAGAGTACAGTACATCATTGCATACATACTTTATGAATCTTCTGTTGGTTGTAGTGTACTATACTATATACAGGAAGTAGTTCATAATAACAATTTCGCTCTTAAAGAACAAGGCGGTAACACACAAGCGACGAGTGATGCTGTTTAAACTTTACTTGCTGCTGAGAGCAATGGAAAGGGATAGAGTGGGGGACGGACTTTCCATCTTTCAGGTGAAGTGCAATAGAGGGACGCTTGTTGCTCGTACTCTCGCGAACTGGCAAACACTCTGCGCTCTGCTACAAGCAGAACGCATCTTTGAGAACACTTTTCGTATGAAGTACCCAAAGTTTTTGTCTCTTGCACGTGAGATAAACGAAACATGCAGAAGAAACAAAAATATGGGCATGTTGAGAGGAGGTGCAATAGATGTGGAGGTACAACTTGCTGTCTTCCTGCGTATAGCAGCCGGCGGAAAATACCAAGATATTAAAATTGCGTTTGGGATTTCTTCTGCTGCTGTTTACTACATATTCTGGAGAGTTTTATACCCAATTGATGGTTTGAGTTTCCTGTATTTCCGCTTTCCAAAAGAGGGAGAAGAGATTGCCAAAGCAGCAGAAGAGTTCAAATCACACTCTACTCACGGGGTGATTAGTCGCTGTGTTGCCGTCGCCGATGGCTTATTTGTGTGCGTAGCTTTTCCTCTATTAAATAGATGTCGGTATAGGCGTCGTTTATATTCTGGACATAAGACTGGTTATGGGCTGAATGCCCAAGCCATGTGTGATGCAAACTATACGTTTGTTGCATTTTCTATCATAGCATATGGTAGTATGCATGATCGTCGAGCTTGGGAATATAGCAGGTTTGACCTGCTAGTAGAGAATTTACCCATGTTTTACTACGTACTGGGTGATGTAGCCTACAGATGTACCAACCATATGCTTACACCCTATCCTGGCACTCGTGAAGCATTGGGCGATGCATGGGACGCATACAATTATTTCCAGTCCCAATCTCGCATGCATATCGAGCAGGCCTTTGGAATCATGGTCCGAAAATGGGGCCTTCTATGGCAACCCTTGCGTTTAGATTTTAAACACGCCCCAAGAGTTGTTACAGTTCTAGCTAAGCTACATAATCATTGTCTATCAGGAGATGGATATAGACGAGCTAATAATTTGGATGTAGGAGCACCGCGTACAGATATAAATGGGCGTCTAGGACCACAATTTCGGCATCCCAATCGTACTCTCCGGCCTTCGTCCCTTAGAGGCAAAACAGAGCGCGAAGTTATGAAGCAGTACATAGAGAACAACAAATTATGCAGGCCTGATTCAAATCTGGAAAGAAATAAGAATGGAACAAGATAATAAACATTATATATAAACGCGGGTACACACAAACATGTACACACGCACTTGCATTGCGCGTTTTGTACACGTGTACACGCGCGCGTGTGTGTGTACACACATATATATTTATACCAAAAACACACACACAACATACACACCTTCGTTTACACACACACACAAACATGTACACACGCACACGTGTACACGTGGTCGTTTGTGTACACGTGTACATGTCTGTGCACACAACACAAATACATAGGCTTAAAAACAAATGCGCGCGTACTCAGGCAATAACACCTACACACACACAAACATGTACACCCACACACTGA